ATGCCACTCTTAACAACGACGGTATTTTTGTAAGAGACAAAATTCGCTATATATTGGAGAGTATTAATTAGAAAACTCAATTGTTTTATAAAGTATTTTTACCTCACTCGTTTAAATAAACTATTCAACGTGGGATTTACAAGAGATAAAGATCCTCTTTGACACGCTATCCCTCCTCTTCAAACCCTCCCCCTTCCTCTTACAGGAGCCTCAACTGGTGGAACCCACCCCTCTCCCTCCCAACCTGCCTCCGGCAGCCTCCTCTACCACCAAAACTGGCGCTCCCCTCTCCCTCTCCAACTCGCTCGCCCCCGTCGATTTATACAACCGTGCCTCCTCCGACCCCCTCGACCCTCGTGCGCTCTTCGACCTCTTCGATGACTGCATGGCCTCGCACCGGTGGACCGAGGTCAAGTGCCTCTTCGGGACCTGGGTCCGCACCCTCGACAAGAATGGCAAACCCAACAGTCCCGACGTCAACCTCTTCAACCACTACCTGTTAGGATCGAGCGCTTACCACTAGGCCAAAAGCTATAGCCGTTAGTCAGAGCGCAACTCTTTTTACTTAAGAGTAACAGCCCAAGCGCCACGATTCGATTGTGACTCGGCCCACCCGGCCTCTGTCACAGGACAATTGATGCTACCCGCAACAATCTCCCCTCAAGCAATTGTCCTACGAGGAATCCAACTTGGATTGTGACTTGGCCCATCTAGCTCGCGCCATCGATTGTGACTTGGCCCACTCGGCTCGCGCCACGGGACAATTGTGCAACCTGCAACAATCTCCCCTTAACAATTGTTCAACAGGAATCGAACTCGTGACCTTGGCTCTGATACCATTTGTTAGGATCGAGCGCTTACCACTAGGCCAAAAGCTATAGCCGTTAGTCAAAGCGCAACTCTTTTTACTTAAGAGTAACAGCCCAAGCGCCACGATTCGATTGTGACTCGGCCCACCCGGCCTCTGTCACAGGACAATTGATGCTACCTGCAACACTACCTCCGCGCCAACCTTATACTCGGCGCCTACGCCACCGACCTCCTCGACCTCGTTGCGCAGATGGATGAGTTCCGTGTCCAGCACAACACGGCGTCGTTTAACCTCGTTCTCAAAGCCATGTGCCAGGCTAACGAAACCGTCGCCGCTGATAAATTGCTCCAACGGTTAGTCTCCCAGATCGCACTCGTTGAACTGGAATAATGGAATAATGGAGTTCTTTAGGTCTGAAGTTTTCGGACTACTATATTAGAATTATTATTCTGGGTCTGAAGCTTATGCTTATGCATGAGCTAATTTGCAAATGCTATGATTTTAATGTTTAACTTGTGCGTAGGCTAATTTTAACTTATAAATTTGTTAATTTCATTTTTTTTTTCTTATTTTTCTCTTGTGAAAAACTTACCGAGAAGCCCGTCCAAAGAGTCTCTCTATCGAATACTATGTTTAGATGGGAATTTACTTATTCTTGTTGTTATACGATTAGGGTGAGTTCTCCATAAGCATTTTTAACAAAATGAAAATTCTAGGAAGAAAAAATAAATGCATATTCTCCTTGAACTGCACATAAGTTCAAATAAAATAATCTTTTAAAGAAGTTAATAGACGAGGGAGTTAATTCAATGTGTAATTTAATTTTGAGTTGTGGATAAATTCATTTATTTTCTTAATAGTGCTTATTATTATTCATTTATTTTCTTAGTAGTGCTTATTGGACTTTTAACGGTCCTGCAGCCATGTTAGTGGTCAAATGACCGTGATAAAAATGAGCTAGTGAGAAGGTGTTGAGCATTGACTTGTGGTTGGTTCATTGTGAGGTTTTAATTTGCACAAAGTTAGATCAAACGTTATGTTTGGATCAACCTTTTTGTAAACACTCATAGGTTTAGAACAGTAGGAAATTAAGAAAGAAAGGTAAAATAAGTTTCTCTCTTAAATGAGAGAAGCTTCTCCCATGTATAGAAATTAACATGTGGATATGGAGAAGTTTATTTAATTTTACCATTCTATTTCTTTTTGTATAATGGGGGCAATGATGTTAAAAACTAGAATCTCGTGGAAAACCAGAATTCTCTACATCAATGAAAAGGTACCCTTGTGTTCGTAGTATGCTTATTTTTTTTACTTAAGAGGAGTTAGATCTGAATTTTGATTTTCTTTGACTTTTTTTTATTAGGATTACAATTACATGACCTCTACTACTAAAAGTAGTAGCTTTTGTCAAGTAGTTCTCTCCCTACATTATTGTCAGGAAATGAATAAGCAATTCTTTCTTTCTTCGGGATAAAAATGTTGAAATTAATGAACGACTTACATTCTCTCTGCCAATTGGGGTGAGAAACCTTGCCAAACTTACTGTGTATTGAGACACCTTTTTAACATCCGTTTGGTTTTGTTAATGAAGAAAAGTTGCTGGCATTAATGCTAGGGCAAGTGTTAGTACTTTGCATGCTATATTTAATTAGATATTCGCCAAGTTTTAAATTAGTTTTTTGGGTCTATAACTGGCTGAAGCTTACTAATATATATGTCATAATATTCATTTTCTTTCCCCTGTAACTGATTCTTTGGTATGATTGTAATTTACACATCCACTTTGTTATGGGTTTGATTTTAGGAAAATTACTTGTTTTGGAATTGCTGGTAAAACTGCTTACCAGGCAAGAGGTGACAGTGGTTTAGTTATATATTATCTTAACTAATTACACATTTAGTTAATTGTTATTGGATTCAAAAAATTGTTAGGATTTCCTGAATACTGTAATTGTTAATCTTGGTGTAGCTGAGAGTCTACCTTTTTAAAAGCCAGACAGTTAAATGACAATGATTTAAAAGTTGGAGTTGTGTCTAATTTCCAGCTGATGTGAGATTCTAGCTTCATTGTCAACTCATCAGGTTTTAAAGAACAACCTGTGCACACAAGAGGGTAGACAGAGTGGGTTCTATGTCATTTCACTAGTGCAAAAAGGGGCTTTTACGTCAGGTATTTAGGGTTTTTTACGTCGTATTTAAGTCCGACGTTAAAGCGGGAGACGTAAATTTACGTCGGACCCTTTTGCCCGACGTAGATTTACGTCAGTTATCAAGATCCGACGTAATTTTGTGTGGCATATACACTAAACAGACGTAAAAACCTTTTCAATTTAAAAAAAAAAAAAACAGAAAATTTACGTCGCATATGGTATACGCGACGTAAATTTACGTCGCGTATAACATATGCGACGTAAATTTACGTCGCATATACCAATATGCGACGTAAATTTTCTGTTTTTTTTTAAATTGGGTTTATTTATTCTGTTTTACAACTAAAACCCGCAAATATTACAACCAGACAGATCCAGAGGTTCAGTTTTCTTTAGCTAGTAAATTAAAAATATAATATTATATAATTCAAACTACATAATAAAACAATATAATACAAACATACAAACTAAAAAATCTATTACAAACTAAGCTACCTATACAAACTAAGCTACCTATACAAACTAAACTAAACTACATAATACACACAATATAATATGAACAAGAACTTAAAAAATAATGTACTAGAATTGTTGAACAAAAAATTTTGCCCATTGTTCTCTAATTTCCGTAATCTCATATTCCGGTAATGGAGATGGATCTTGAAATACCTGAAACATGAATTTGACTCTTGTAAGCATGCAACATGAATAAAGTTAAATAAACTTAACTAATGTTAAAAGTAATTACCTCCGTCCAAGAATCAATTAAACCCGCACAAACTATGGCTCTCATCCAATACATTACATAGTAACCACATTCAAACGAGTCAGTTTGCTTATTACATTGAAATGATGAAAAAAACATAATATTATTTTCAAAATTGAAATACAAACAATAATTATGGTATTCACTTATATAAATAAGTTTCTAACCTTAGGATAAATGAACTGCAAAGTCTTTGTTCTAGGTTTTCCACTTAGAACATTAGTTCCGGACACGATTCTAAGTGAAAAAAAGTCATATATTATTCAATATGTATTCACAATTTAAAAACATAATTAATGAATAAAAGATAAAGTTACCCTTGTAATAAGCTTTTCATTTCTTGACTCGGTTTCCGATGTAATGAACAAAACCACACCACGAGTGTAATCCCGGGCATGATTACAATTAACTCGCCAATGAGACCTACATTGTATGACATAAAAATTAGTTAAAAAAATATAAATTAAAATACTAACCCTTCAATGTATGGAGCCAAATATATATGTCTTCTTGAGTCACTCATCCATGTTTGCATATATTGTTGGATTCCAACCTTTGTATTTCCGCATTTTTGGATGGATTGAGGCTCAATAAATCCGTATACTTCGGATTTTTCTTGTTCCACACTCAAATTGTCAAGGTACCTAAAACAATTAATTATAAGTTGAATATAATTATTATAATCTTAGAAACATAAATGAAAATGACTTACATTGCCCACAATTGTATGATGGAAATGTTTAACATGCAATTTCCCCAAGCAATTTCTAAAGCATCGGGCAAGGAAATGTACAATGGAACACTCGTAATTGTCAATTTCAAACACTCTAACATCCCATTGTATCCGACATGGTCTCTTCCTCAACCGTGGTAATACTGGCTAACAATATAGAGATGGGATCATCATCACATTCCGTCAGATCCTCATCAATAATAGGTTGTTTTTTATGCTTAGCACGACGCAAGTCCTCCTAAACAAATGATAACAATTAATTAAACATTTATATAATTATAATACTAGAAAAGAGTAAATAGACAATATGTATATATATATATATATATATATATTACCTTGGTCTCGTGCCGATAGTGGCATAACCAAACGTCTTGGCCAAGCCAAGAATGTCCCGCTTGCCTGCCCCACTAATTGAATCTCTTCATTAGGAAAATGCACTGGAGCATTAGCATCATGAACTTCATCAACTACTACTCGTGTCCAGCCTCGGTCGTAGAGGGACACCATGGATGGTTAAGCCACCCTCAAAAACTCGACCAACAGACCACTAGACGCGGGGTCATCTTCAACATATAACTCACACTCGGTGTGATGCATCGATCCGAGTATATTCTCCTGAAGGATCAACAGTAGTAGCAAGCACAACTCCCTTTAGTGCCGACTCGAACAATATCATGTTCAATTGTTTGAGGTGTTCCTTGAGTCTGTTGCCGAGAGCGGGCGAGAGATTCAATTTTCTCATCAAACTCTTGCCGCAAGGACTGCCTTATTTGATTTAACTTTTCTTCAAACCGCATCTCCATTTTATGCAAGGCCTCCTGGCCGCAAGAGTCAGCAGTGGTCCTTCGTGATGTTGGACCAAAGTAATCACGAAGGCCCCGTGTTCCACCAAGACCACGCACACGTCTTGAGTAATCTGGTTTTCCTATGGCCGTCGCCAATATATCTTGTCGACCATGAGGAATAAATGATCCTTGGTTGGTCTCGCTCAACTAAATCATCCTACAACACATTAACAATAATTAAGTCATACACTAACTTTCAAATTAGAATCAATTCA